TAGGGATATTGTCCAAGTAGCCCCAAATATGAGTTAATAATATTTCTTGAAAGCTCAAAAGCATTTTTCCCTCTAGCAGCTTTCTGATGTTTGATTAGTTAACTACATTATGATAATAGATATTTAGCTCCCAGTGTTTTTTATACCACAGAATAGTACTAATTACAATTTACATTTCAGTGTTCCTAAAATATGGCCACATCTGCATATGTCTCAAAGCCTTTGTTTTTAGCTTTTAAAAAAAGCTTGCCAAACTTTGTGAACTATTTTAGAGGATCATCAATTATGAACTCAAGTTGCTATAGAATTTCGTAGGTTCAGAGACAATCAGACCTATGTATAGGCTAACACTATACCATGAACTCTGGTATTATGGAACGTCCCTAGGAGCACTTCTTCAGTGTGCTGAATGAAACCTTATTTCCAGTCATTCCTTCTCTATGATAGACAATAATAATAGCTAATATTTATTAAGTACTATGTTAAGTGCTTTACAATGCTTTATGAGGTGAAAACTACTTCTAGCCTTATTTTCCACACACGTGAAATAAACTGAGCCTAGTCTTGCCCACAGTTAGAAACTATGTCAGTGATAAAGTGTGTCCTCACATCCTGTTCTCTGTGATACAGAATCTGGGCTCTTCACCACTCAGCCCCATCTTACTTCAGAACCAGAACTATTCAATCTGCTCAAGCAATCAGTGCTTTCAGAGAGGAGCATGAGTAAATTATAAAAACTGTCTTTATACACACTTGCTTTTCAGCATCCTTAGCCTTCTGGATTGCTCAAAAAAAAAGAAAGTTGCCAGAAAAACACACACACAACTCTCCTCTTTGTCAGCAAAAAGCAGGCCCCCAGAGACCTCTGCCAAAGGGGAGTGGAAGACCATGAGGTTATTCCCACTGGACTGGGAGTGATGGGTGAGCCAGCAGACACAGAAAGAAGTACTGTGCTTGGCAAGTGATGTCTATAAAGGGCCAGTCTTTTCTCACAAATATGAGTAGCTACAGAAGTAACAAGAAAGGAAAAAGGTGGGGGGAAAGCAGAGGGAGGGAGATGTGGAGGCTTTTATCAGTTAAGGTTTTGGCACTGCTGGCTGTTTTTAGAAGCAGTAACAGAAACAATCAGCTAAAAACATCAGAGAAACAAATTTCTTGAGACAGAAGACAGAACAGCTTTGCTGCCATAGGGGACGATGGGCCACCTGTCTCTTATTTCCATAGTTCTTTGGGATGTGGGGCAGGGAACTCCAACCTGGGCAGGGTGGAATGAGAGCAGGCAGCCGCATCTGCTCAGTGCTGCTACTGCCTGGGCAGGCCATCAGTCCAGTGGACCATCACCAGACATGGAGTCCCAATGACACGGTAAGGTTGTACCCACAACACAGCCCACAACTGATGCTCATACAGTCCCATCCTGCAGAGGCAACACTAAGGAGGGAGGCTTGGGGGCTTTCATGCCTCTCTGCCACTTTTTGACATGGTTAAGTGATGTTTTCTCAAGCTTTGACTCCTTCTTTCATGCAGATAGCTGCTCCTAGGTTTCTCCCATATAGGAAACCTACAGAGTTGCCACTGTAGCCACCCTATGCCTTTTAAGAAACTGTTCAGTGTATTCTGTTTAAAGATGCCAAGAAATGTTATAAAAAAGATTTTCATTGATAAAAAGTTAAAATTTTATGGCTATACACTAACAAGGATGATCCACTACTCAAAGGGAAACCCAGCTGTCCAGCTCTTTTACCAAAGACAACTGTGTTTTATTTTAAATAGCTCTGTGATTGAAATGGTATTTTGATTTCCTATATATATATAACTTAAAAGTTCTGGATTTCTGAAGGGTGCTAACATGAAGGGCTATAGTGACAATCTTTTAGTCATGTAATAGCAGGCAGTGGAGATAGAAAACATCCACAGGTCCTAATGACTGGATGCAGCAAGACCAGGGTGCACTGTACTGATCACCACCTTCTTCCCTCACAGCTTTGCTGATTCCTGCAGGCAAGACTGTCAGCTGCCCTCCACACACACCTCCCAAAGTTTGGGCTTACTCCAGTGCCAGCTCTTCCATGAGGTGAAAGGCGACCTTTCAGCTAGAAGTAATTTTTTCCTCCTCACAACTTTTATGGCATGGACTGCCTTCTCCTGGAAGCTCATTTCCTACCTGGGCTGGAGCCATTTGTGGGTATGACTTATCCACTGAACTAAAGCTCCATGATGGAGGACTACTCCTGAGTCACATTTGTGTCCCTCTGTTCCCCTGTACCCCAGCCCTCGGCTCCTAGCAGGTGTGCCTCAGGTGCTGATTGGCTGGTGGAAGGGTGGGGATGGGGACATGCCTTCTCTCTGCTTTGTACTCTTACAGCCAGAGGCAGGACAGTGCGCGTTCCAGGTTCTGGGCTGTGAAGCCAGATTAGGAGGACTGGAAGTCTGGGTTCTTGGACTAGTTCTTAGTATCATGATGCCCTGCTTCCCTGACCTCTAGAATGGGGGCAATAGTAAGAATGATCCTGTAGAGCTGTTGGGAGGAATAAATGTGTTGATCCCTGCAAAACAATTTGTATAGTGTTCTTAAAGAACGTATCCCCACATGTTAGCTATTATGATGAAAGCCAGAGCTTGATCGCTAAGGGTACTTTGCTGCCTGGGCAACCTCAGAACCGCACCTCACAGCATTTCTAGATTTTAATTCAGATAAGAATGGTGACTCTGGAAGAATTTTTCAGACTTGATCTAACTATCTTGAATGAAAACGCTTAAGGAGTAGAACACCATTTCCCAGATTGTTGCAGCTAAATGTGTAAGATTGATACCCATGTGGTAAAACCTTCAGGGAAGTTTTTGGGTAAAAAACAGTATCTTCAATCCTGCCTCTACTTTCCTCCCTTGTATTCTAGGAATTGTTACATGTTACCATGAACACAGTCCAATGGTAAGTTAGGGAATTCAAAAGCAAATAACAGACATTAAGTGATGGAAGTCTGGAAATTGCTAAGCTAGAGAAAGCCACCTATGTAAATCTCACTGTCATCAACACTTCGTGAACTATGCATGACACTGGCCACAGCAGTGCCTCCCTAGGAAAGCCCAGTGCCTTCCTCATGACCTTTGGTTCTAGTGCAAAGGCTCCATGGAGCTGGGGTCATCGTGGTTCCCCTCAGGGGCTTGGGTTTATTCTAAGATGAACTGAGAGGGTCTTTTATTTAGACCCAGACACTGGGAAACAGAGATGGCATTGCTGGAAGGAGCGTTGCCATTGCCAGCATTGGTTTGCTGTCCCAACCAACAGGCTGAGCTCTCTGAACATTAGAGCCCTGGTACTTTTCTTCCAAATGCCTGGTTCAGAGTCAACTTCAAAACATGCAATTTTCTTTATTAAGAAATCTGCTGTGCCTCTTCTTGATAAAACTGTGCTGTTTCTGTGTCATCAGGAACAGTCAATGAGACTGGGCACCAATACGGCACCGGAGCTGGTCAGGCCAGTGCACTTCGCCATGGGGTGCAGCCCTCAAGAGCCCTTTCTGTCTTGAACCCTGTTGTTACAGCTCAGCCTCTTGCCTGCCTCAATTCCAAAGTCCCCTCAGAGTGACAGTTGGGTAAGTCACAAAGGCAGGGGAGGAAGGTTTATATTCCAACCACATTATTGCCCTGACTTTGGGGAAGGAAGAACCAGGTCTGTGGCTCTTACTGTGTATTTGAGGAGCAGCAGATGGGTAGTGGGGCTCTGGGCCCTGGTGTGTGTGGGTGGTACCCACAATAAGGATTGGCAGCTCTGCTGCTCAGGGCTCAGCACTGCCAGTCTTGCTGCAGGTCTTGCTCAGGTCTCATGCCCCAGTTAGCAACTGGTTTCTTGTCTTGCTTCCAGTAACCACCAATTGCTTACTGGCCCTGCTAGAGGCTTCCCTACCAGCAAGCTTTAGTCCCAAGTCTTATAACCTGTGTTCTCTTATTTCTTCATTTTGAAACTCTTCCTTGGTTCTCCTATTGGAATCCCCTTCTTTTAGAAATGGGGTTTTCTCTCGTTCTCGGGGACTAGAGCCTGTTTCAGACCTCCTGGAGACATGCGGCACTTAATGGGCCATTCCCCAGCCACCAGCTCCCTTGAGGTTAGGTCCCCTCACTGCTGCTGACTATTGAAGCTCCATGATGTCGACTGCCTGACCCCAACAGAGAACCTATGGTCAGACCTCACTGCTCCCTCCACCCCAATCCCAGGCCAGTGCTGCACACTACCCTCCCTCCACCCACTGGTAGCCACCCTGAGGCTTACTGGCCACATATGTGGACCCCTGCTGACTGCCTAATTCTAATCTCCCTTCTGCTGGGTCTTCTCATCTCTCCAGCCTGCTCTCAGATCTCATTGCCCTGCTCTAATGGGGCAATGAATGGGGCATCAGATCTCTCCTGGAGGACCAGTCCTTCTGCCAGTAGGGCCTCAGACTAATAATCAATTGATTCCGTTTTGTGATGGCAAAAGTCTGTATAACTGTCCAATTGCACAGCTTACTTCAGAAGTTAAGACAAATTTTGTTTGTTTTCTAGAAAGCATAGATTCCATTCCTGTTTCAAAAATACCTTTTGCTTGTGCATGGTCACTCTGGCCGCCTTGTCTAAAGTATCAGTCCCCATTGCTAGCACTCCCTAGGCCCTTTTCCTATTTTTTTTTCTTAGCACTTTTTACTAAGTACTGCATAGTTTACTTACTTATCTTGCTTATTGTTTATCCCTTCTGGTAGTGTATAAACCCCATGTGGACAGGGATTCCAATTTATTTTATTATATCTGCACCCAGAGCAATTCTGGACTCAAGAGATGTCACTCAGTGAATACTGGTGACATAAATGGAGGAGTGAGTGATGAACAAAGGAATGCCTGTTCCTTGCTGGCCAGGCCACTGGCCACCCAAGGCTGTGGGCATCCTGCCCAGCTGGCTAGCCTGCACATCACGGCCCTGGGAGCCGAGTTCTTGGCTTTCTGCTCTCCCACAGTGCAGTGCTCACCTTCAGCTTGTGCTCATGCTCCTTGTTGACCCGTGCAAGCAGCTGGGCTTTTCTTCTGTTGAGGGCGTCAATGAGGGCATCACACTGGGCCACCAGGCAGGCCTCAAACTCCACACTGTTCTCCTGTATGAGAGAGCACATCCCTTAGCAACAAAGCCCTGGGCACTTGGGGCTGCCAGAAAAAATATTTGGGGAGTGGGACTCCCTACTGAAGGGAATGAAAAAGAACTCTGTCCACAATGCACATTAGGTATTTAAAAAATAATTGGGTAAATTTAGTTCTACAGTGGTAGTGTTCATTTTAAATTTAGATTGAAAAGGATAAATATTATGTAATAAATTTTTTTTATCAAAAGGAAATCATCACAGTGTTAGTTTGTAAAGTTGAACATGAATCTTTTTGAAGGCTGGCATATGTCCAATTATGCATGGTAGAAAGTGGCATTCAGAAAGGCTGGTTGCCTCAACAAATGGTGTATTCTTGAGGCATGAGAGATAAAGAATCATTAAACTCAAGGGAAGAAAGAAGAAAGAGGATGGCAATGGTCTTCAATAAGCAACAATCCAATGACAGCAAGCTTATAAGAACAATCATGGGTAAAGGTAGTTACTCATTTCACTTAGAAAGCCAGTCATGAACGCACAGGCAGTTAAGAACAATTGGTGTGTGTAACAGGCAGCACCCTTGTAAAAGTCAGATATGAACCAACAGTTTGTGGGGGAAAGGCAACCATGTCCTAAATGAATTACACTTTCCCTTTGATTTTTAAGCTGAATGCTGGCTCTGAATTTCTTAAATTTGATTTAAATCTGTACATACCATAGACATTTCTTTTAAGTATTCTCTCATTAAATTATAAGCATTCATTAAAGGTAATTCTTTCCATAAGTTATACATAATTTTGATTCTCAAACCATAATCTGAGTAACAATTATAATTTATAGCAAATGAAAGCTGAATACTCACATATACACTAATAGCACTGAAAAAAACAGCACCCAACTAAGTAAACTATAAACATTTAGAGGTAGTCAAGGAAGGAAGAGCTTAGCTTATCAAATTTTAATTTGTTCTTAAAGTCATTAAGAACTATGTTTCTTAATATGAGGATCTACTGATAGGTTTTTGGTAACTTTTAAAATGTAAGGTCTTCTTCATATAAAGTGTGCACTAGTAAGTGCTTGAGTAATGACTTCTTCAAATGTTAAGTTTTGACTTCCATGGCAATTGCTTTTGAGTTCTCAGAGAAACCCCCTGGAAAACAGCATTAAAGAGCTCGCATGTCCCATGATGGGTACTACAGGGAGGGAGGTGAACAGCCTTCTCCTGGTAGACTCCAGTTTAGAGCAGAAAGAAAGCATTGCTCTGATGAAGAGGTGAGGTGCAGAGGCAAGTGGGGCTGCCCACTTTATGCCAGCAAAAGTAAAGATGGCAATGATTGGTAAACTCTGTTGCTTTAGAAAACAGGAGGAAGGGTACAACCTTTAGGTTATTAGGGAATCAAAAGTGTTAACATGGGCATGTCTGCCAAAAACGCAAAGAAATCAGTGTGCAGTTTCTTGAAAGTCTGGCTTACATTTTAAAAGACATTTCTGTCTTGACATCAATTAAATATTGACTCAGAAAACCAATTTTCTGGAGGCCAAAACTAAGGTTATTTCTATGAGGCACATCTTAAAACATAAGAACAATAAGCAGTACAGATGGTCATTATTTCAGTACCTCATGCAGTTTATGGCTTCTCCCTTTTAGCTATAGTGGAGAACTCAGGCTTTCAAAGGCTGGCTGATTTTTGGGTCATTGTGCTCAAATAAAGCAACTTGAAATTACAGTCACTAGGGAATCATAGTTGAAAAATACTTAAGTATCTCAGTAGAAGAGAAGTGTTACTACGGGAAAGGAAGGAAGGAAAGAAAGAGGGAAGGAAGAAAGGAGGAAATGGAAAAATGTGACTTGCTGGTTGCCTCTAGATAAGATATAATCATTGCAAGGTGCTTTGGGAACCTATAGAGTTTAAAAAACTCAGCAATAATGACTTTGAATACAAAGTGGCCTCTTTCTACACACATGTTAGTAGAGAATTAGGACCTCGGTGTGGAAGTCAAGAGGCATTTGGAAAACCAGATTGTGCTGCAGGCTTCTTGGCAAAACCTAACTACTTCAAGAGGGGGTATGTTTGAACCTGGTCTGTTCTTTTGCTTGTATGTAGTAGAAGAGACAGAGAAGAAAAAAAAATTGGAATTTCCCCACAACACATAAAAATAAAAGAGAAGAAACAGACAAACTCCCCCACTACACAGTTACATCTTAACCCACTGGTTGGTTTTCTACCTCAGGCGCTGCCAGTACCTGAATCTGCTGGACCATATTGCGCAGCTGCACCAGAAACTCCTTGGCCTCTTTGGCCCTGTCCGATAGCCCGTTCAGTGCCTGCGAGAGCTGGCTCTGCAAAGACAAAGCAGGAAACCACAGAGCTGTAATCACACAAAGTAGCAAAAAGGCCACACAGGGTTGTTTTGATCCAAGATACAAGAGTCCTCAGCCTCCTCAGGTTCCTCTTATCCAAGCCTGGGCTGCATAGCCAACATCTGTACATGAGGATTCTGGTAATAATGGCATCCAGATGCCTCCCACAGGCTTCTGAGTAGTTTCTCCTTGGAAGCAATGGAGACTTTTGGCCATTGCAGTCAAAGGCCCTCACCAGCTGATATCTGCCTGGAATTTCCTCAAGTCATTCATTGCTTAATTAATTCAGCAATAATTTATTTAATTTAAAGTTAAAAAAAAACTCCACAACAAACAGTGAGTCAGATGATCTGATAATTATCAACATTATTTAGCCCAAGTGCTATTGGTCTGGATTGGAGCAGAAAGAACAAAGAGAGTCAAGAATAGGATGATGAGGGAGGTGTTGGAGCACTGGTGTGATGCTCCGGGGCCACTGAAATGTAATGACAGATACAAAGGGCATGGTGACAGTCCTCCTCCTCAAGGTCATCTTCCTTCTCCCAAGTACTGTCCTGTTGCCCTAACTCCTCTCCACATTCACCTCCTAGCCAAGGTATTCTCTCTCCTGATTTCCCACACTGCCCCATCCATTTGGGGATGCAGTTCTGCTGGAGGGATCATGTGTCCAGGTAAGTACCTGCTTTCCCAGTCTCCCTGTCTGCTGGGATGGCCATGGACACATTGCTGGTCGATGAGACCTAAGTGAAAACTGGCTGGAGCTGGAGGGGTCTGAGAAAGCTCTTGCTTTTCTGCTTGCATGGGACCAGTGCAGCTGGTGCAGCCTCCTCTCTTTTGTTTGACTTCATGGAAGATATTTTGTGACTCTCAAGAAGAGCAGGCCGACGTAAGAAAGGTAAGGGAGCAGGCCGACATAAGAGAGGTAAGGTAGAAGGAGAAAGAGCCTGGGTTCCACAGGCATCTTTGAACAGCTGAACTAATACTTGAAGTCTCCTACTGCTAGGTTTCTTGTCATGTGAGAAAAATTAACTCTAGTAAAGTCCCTGTACTGGAGTTCTCCATTACTTGCAGCCATTACTATTGTATTGGATACAAAATGTGTTCTCCTAGCAGCCTGGGCATATCCTTCCACCCCTCCTGTAAATTACAGAGACAAACTCCTTTTCTACAATGTCTTCTTTGAAACCTAAAGTCCATTCTCCTTCCAATGCCTCATCTACTCTTTCTTTGCAATAAAAGGACAGAATCTTAGAAATTTATTTCTTAGGCCTATGATTGTTTTTCTCATACATTTGTCCTATTAAACACAAAGGTGGGCAATGAATCTCTCTAAAAATATGCACACCAAATTCTTGGTAGAAGCAATGTACGGTGGCAGAAATAACATAGCCTTAGGAAGGCTTCAAATTCTAGCTCTGTCTCTTATTATGACTGGGAAAGTTACTTCTGCCTGAGGTGCTCCAGTGGAAAATATGGGAATAATAATAATACTTTGTATGTGGGTTGCTGTGAGGGTTTAATGCATTGATCAATGTGAAATCTCCTGGTAATTAAGGGTAGTGGTTAAGGGAACTATTCTGAATTCATAAATGCTGCCAGTTACTGGTTGTTCAAACTTGCACACATAGTTTGATTTCATCCATAAAATGATAAGGATACTACTTTTGGGAGTTATGGGCATTGCATGAGATGCTATATCTAAAGCCCAGAACCCTGCTGGTGCATGGTGCATGCTTAATATATGTTGGCTGTTGTTAACACTCATTCACCTTCATTCTTCCTGTTCATAAACACCTGCTGACAGACTGGAGGGATTTGCAGGGCAGATTCTGGAGGAGGATCTGTTGGAGAATATTCTCCATCACTTGTACTTTAATCTAGGTACTCAGATTCTGGGAGGCTAGACCAACACAGCTGAGTAAAAAAAAGTACAAAGTGAGTCTATAGTTGCTGAAAGGGCCACTTACTTATTTATGCTGCACCTAGAATTTGTGATAAACATTTTCTCTCCAAGAACTTGTTCCAAGAGTCCAGTGGGTGAAGGAGGGAAAGAAGTTCTCATTTGGAAGAGCAGGCAATAAAATGAGAGACACATTCTAGGGAAGATTTTTTTTTATTGTTATTTTAGAACACATATCCCTTCTTTTTCTGAGTGAGCAATAATTTGCTGGGCTATCACAGTTTTCTTGCCCTTTTTATTATAACCTATGTCTTAGTAACCACATTTGGAGGTCAGGGTACAGAAGCCAAATTCATTCAGCAACACAGAACCTGAAGCTACCTGATTTCTTATATTGCAGCCTTGTAATTACTTGACTGTGTAATTTAACTCAGACCTGACACCCATTAAGAATTATTGACAAGGCGCTGCTATGCACTTAAAAAAATTATTCTCTAGTAGGCAAAGAGTGCTGGCCTCATCCATTCCCAGGATTTTATATGGCAAAGCTATATGCAGATTTCCTCTTTGTGTCTACGTTCAGTCCCAAGAATGCCTCCTACCTTCTAATGACTGTTCTGCTTTTGACAAATAACTGCATTATAAGATTAAGATCTAGAAATATTTCTCTTAAATTATGTTAATGTGTAGAAATTGACCAAGAGACAATGAAAACTCCTGGACACTATTTATCAGCAGCATATGCTCTTACTATGAGGGTTTATGTGTGTGTTGCTTTTATAGGATAGTCTTTTTGATCACATTAATACACTACATCTGATGTAGAAGAACATTATTATTGATTGGTTTTGTTTTCCAGAAGCATCTAAATTCCTGCTCTGTACTAAGAGCGATGTTCTGTATTCAGGACCACAGTGAAGCCCTGTAAATTTATACCGGATCTACGATGATGCAAATATTTAGTGTGTGTTTTTGTTACAGCATCTTTGGCTGCACATGTAGCCATTAGAAGCTGTTTAAAATGCCCAAGAAATGGCATTCTGGTTTCTTGGATATTTGTTTTCCAGTTTACTGAAAATGTGTCATGATCAAAAAGTGAATGAGGGTGGGAAAATAATGTAGGCCAAGAAGCCCTGGCAAATTTCCAGGCAAGGGCCCAGAGCATGCTCTGAGTAACCAAGATCTCCCAGAAGGATGGCAAGTTGTTCAGAGTTTGAAGGAGAGAAACAAAGAACTCCATTCCCCCTTCCCTCCTCTCCTGCCTTACTCCTCCAACTTCCACCCAGACTCCAGTTCCCCTTACCTCTCAAGGGAGTGAGTGGTACCTGGGATCAGGAGCTTGGTTGGGAGAGCCCGAGGAGGATATTTCAGAACCCACTATTGTTTGCACTCAGCAAATGGGTAACAGACTTCAGTCCACCCTGAGTCAGGACCAACTCTGACGTGTCCACTGCGCCTGGCAGCCACCGAGCACGCACAGACAGAAGGCAGTGTCTCCTCTCCTTCCTGTCCCTGAACGTTATTCATGTGTCATTCCTCCCTCTATGTACTATAAATATTGGACAGAGACAAATCAGGAAAAATGAAAGGAAGCTTCCTGGCTGTTTAGAATCTGAAGTGACAGTCCCAGGATGGATGAAAAAGGGAGAACCAAAGAACTGGCACAAGATAGATGAGGCGACAGCCAAGAAATGGTACCTTGATGGCGCCCAGAGCAGCCTTACTGCCTTCCAGGCACTTGGGACTGCAGCCCATGCCCCCTCCTTCCCAGGTACCAAGGTCACCACAAATCACAGGAGCAAAGTTATGATTAATGTAATGTGATTCTGAAGGAAGGCCCCCCCCAGGGGAATAACAATTTTTTCTTAAATACTGATGTTTGAGTTTTACCAGATTACTGACATTATGCAATTAAAAAGTAAAAGCAAGGAATTCTAATCGTTATATCAGCCATTTCTAATAGGGCAGGAACTCTGATGGGTGCTTCTAATGTGTACCTTATTTAATCCCAATAGCACCCTGATATTTTGCAGAGGCTCAGAGAAGATACACCTGAGCTAAGGTTTTACTAATGACATACTGGAAGAGCTGGAACACAAACCTTAGTGTGATTCCAAAATTGTGCTTTTTTTTTCAGCTTCCCAAAGAAGAGAATTCTTCTCTCAACCACACAGGAAGGATCAAAATTAACCCATGGTAGGAGCACATAAAACCAAAGAAAGTGAGTTGGCGAGGGGATTATGATTAATAATGAGGAATCTGATTATGTTTAACAATCAGATTATACGTCTACTATAGCACGGCTAGTTAGGCTATGACATGTTCGACTTCTTTTTACCTGCATAAAGTTTTTTGGTGAATTTGAAAAAAATCCCTGTCAAACAGGGTTCTCATGGGAGAAGTTGGAAGCTTTGGATTGGGGTCCAGTGCTGGCTTTATCACCTAAGGACCTGAGACTTTGGACAGGGGCTGGGTTGAGTGTGGATTGAGGGAAAGGAATGAGAATTCACCAAGTGACCAGTAAGTGGGAAACCTTCAAGTGGAGCCTCCCAAGGGGCTTGTTGCTCCTTCTCACAAAAACTTCTATTCTGCCTGCCTGTACTTTTCCTGCCCCTGTGATGGGATCTCTCCTGGTTTCTCTGGTGGTGAAAAGTCCTGGTTCTTCCCCAACATCTTCTCACTGTCCTTGACTCGGTAGGAAGCCTCAGAGGCTGGCCTGCTGGGGATGCCACCCTGTTTCTAGGCCCAACAGCAGGGCTGGGGCAGTGCACAGGCTCTGATCTACAAACTGAGAGGCTGGGTCTGGGAGCTCAAACACACAGTCTAGGGAAAAGTGTGTGAGTGTGTGTATGTATGTGAGTGTGCATGTGGGTAGAGTGCATGAGAGTATGTGAATGTGTGTATATGAGGTACTCATCAGTGGAGTATGGGGAGACTCTTGGCTTTGGATAAGGCTGGTATCACAGGTGCCTTATGGGTAGGGACTTGGCCCACTAAACCACTCTTTATTGCTAACTGGTTGTGACAAAGATTCTCTCCATGGCCAAATTCTAGCCAGGCTCTTCTCAACAAAGCCTCA